GAAGAGCACTTTATACAAATTAGGCAAACTAGTACATTCGGCTCGGAAAAAACTGGGCATACTGTAAAAACGATTACACTTCCGTTGTTTTTTCCCTAAAGCTGTGCAATCAGAGATAGGGAAAGACGTGTTATCATAGTTGTTGTGGTAGCGCACACTCCATGCGGTGAGGCTACAGAGCAAGTTAACAATAGCACAATGAGGTTGTGTAGGAGATCAAGTTACTTTGTGTATGTTGTGGAGCCTACTACGTCGGCAAGACGGTCGGGCAGCTCTGGTGCAAAGAGAACTCATGACTGCTACAGGAAAATAGTCATTCACAGCCGCAAAAGTAAATGGAGTCAAGCCTTGAAGCCTAATTCAAACAATCTCTTCTATGATATGTAGACCAAAATAGTGGGGCCCCCGGTATGGTCGTAGTCTTTTTTCGATTTCTAGAAGTGGGTTGACCTCGTTTTCGCCAATTGGTTTTGTTGTCAGGGCAACTTAGTAGAACGAACCCTGTCCAAAGTCCTCTGCCATAGTAAGTTTCATAATTCTCAGCATCAGAGAGTGAACTTGGTACATTATCAAACGTTTCGCCGGCATCGTAGTCGGTATCATCAGTGATTTCTGCCATTCTCTGCACCTTAACTACGATCTCGTCTTTGTCTCTTTGACGAAAACGAGGTCAATTCATAATCTCTCCGATGAGCACAGAAGAGCAAGTAAAACTTCCGTGGCCTGATGGATGGGCTCCCCAAGATGGCGTTGAGGCAGGGTTTGTCTTTGGGGCTACATATCACCGGGGAAACCAAAGTGCTAAACTCGCCTTATTAGCGTTCAGACAAAGTTTTTTAATCAGGGCCGTGCAAAAATTATGCAAAAATATTTTTCGGTAGTATAATCAGCAACTGTCTACTCTAAACAATCGGATTATTCACTGTCTTTGAGAAGCAATGATGGATATGATAATGTCCCTGTATAGGTATTAGAGACCTGCATTGTGGTTGCTATCAGATTGCATGCCAACGGGTGCTGTTTGTCTTCCGATTCTGCTTGTACTGTTGCAGGATCTCTCGACCGACTCGACTCGCTCGGCTACGATGGTTTGGGCTGAATCCAGGGCCCGATCCAACCAGTGAACCTGTCGTTGACGGTGCCTTTGTGGCTGGACTCGCGGTAACTTAGGCACTTGCAAGTGATGAGACGATGTGCGTGATTGAATGGGCTTCCCGTTAATCTGAGTCTTTTCTTCGCGTGTACCACTCAGCATCGGCTTGAATCCCTCATTCGGCCCTAGCAACTGGTAGGCTTCCGAAGTTGGTCTACCGCCCACTTCAGAAGATTCACTACTCGGCATTCTTGCTATTCGATGATGTCCGTGAAAATGGCATTTTTTGGAATTGGCCAAAGGTCCTTGGTCCCTTGAAATGGAAGAGTTGGTGAACAAGACCAGTTTGTCCGGTGGATTTGGCAGTGACGATATGAAGGGCGGGAGCCTTTTCACCCCTTCCGACTGGTTGTAACAAATATACAAATAAAAAGATAAAAGGAAAAGGCTAACTGGAGAACTGAGACCAATTTTTAGAGGAACCACTGAAAATGTTTGCTTATTCAGATCCACCGAGGCGCATCTTCACAAAGGCAGAAGGTTATATGTGGAAAGATGGATGAGGCAAAAATGTCGTGGTTCGAGGATAAATATGAATAAATTTATTTTGCATAGTATGATTTGTATGATTCATAGCCTATCGATACATAAACGTACAGGAGAGTATATTACGAAGCGTTAAACAAAATGATGAGACTTTACTGTTCTTGTGTGCATATTCAGGCGTGGTCTATTTGCGATACATTTAAAGCTTGGCCTGGCGGATTATATGAATTAATGCATCTAAAGACATCCATCACAAATTCAACGCCCGCTTCTTTGGACACACGATCGCGGGCGACGTAATCATGAAATTGACAAACATTTGCGATCGCCAGAATGTTTGAAGCTCGCCTACAAGGCAAACAGCAGGCGAGCTATATGAAATGTATTCACAAAATTATATTTAATGTGATAATGGGACTTGCAACTGCCTTTTCCTTCAATGATAAGGGACGGGCTTACCTATCCATTGAATTTCACATAGACTTGCCTTCCCAAAATGTATTCTCATCCAGCCTGAAGTGGACCAGAGTTTCGACGCCGTCCGAGTTGGGCGCATCAGCACCCTCAGCGGGACTCGAACCATGACAGTTCAGCCTATATAACCACGCCTCCACATTGCCACGAGGTCAGGTATATGAAATGAGAATACTTTTTAGGCAAGCAAGGCCAAGCAAAATTCATTGAAACCTACGACTGTTGGAAAATTCAACGTCCAGTCCTCTCATCAGCTTAAACGGAATGGGGTGAATACATCATATTTATGTGAGCTACTGCTAGTCTCAACACACTACTTATAAACGAAAACAATTTCGGTCGGCATAGTTATCAAATCGGAAGCCCGTTGCTAAGTTTTGGAATATTACTTAGTGCTCGAGCAAAGTTGCTGCACTCAGTAACAAGCATAGCCACTCAGAGAATGGTTACATGCCAATTATGGATACTTGAAAGTTTTAAGGTACCGGGTGCATAATAGCTTCAAAGAGAGGAGATCAGTTTGAAAGAATCGCGCTGAATGTGATTGATAGTGCCATGCCGACTTCTCCGAGCATGCAGCTTCCAGAGAGTTCAACTGCATCCTCTAAACGACTGATCCTGCTTCTGCAGCCAGTTCAGTTGGCCAAATCGCCAATAGAAATGGGTGTACCAAGGCTCGTCTCGCATGTACACAAAGGACAGTCGACCTTAAAGAGCCTTCTTCGCAGGCGGACACCGTTTGAGGCTTGCGGGCCGATTTCATGTGGCCGCCGGACGCCTAAAATGGTCCGGTGGCTTTAGATGATAGTGAAGGTGACCACACGATACAAGAGGCGACATATCAACATGCCTCTTGAAAACAGGCATTAAAGTGAGCTTGGAAGATGAGCTCAGTTAAACAGTCAAGCTCATAGAGATGGGCTGACCTCGTTGTCACAACTTGGTCTTGTTGTCAGGCCGACATAGAAGAATGCACCTAGTCCGAATTCGTCTGCAATAGTAGTTGTCATAATTCCCAGCATCCGACCGTGGACTTGGTACATTCTCAAACATTTTGCCGGCATCACCTGATGCTGGG